ACCTCATCTCTTCTATTTGATTTCCCAGCCTTACATGCGGAAGCTTCTTCTGAAGTCATTAATTTCTTTACTGTCTGCTTTCAGAACGTAGTTGTCTATCATGTGTATAAACCAATTCCCCACATTTAAATAATCTCCTCTTCAAGTGTACCACATCCTGGCTATATCATATGCCACTGACATAACTAGAAAATAATAAAATTGTTATTTTCATTTTAGCTAACTGTCACAATGTCACAAAACGTAACTTCTGGCACATGTTGGTGACTGAGTGAATTCTTCTGTGTTCTCTCGGGGATTTCACAATTGTTTCCTCCTTTCTCAACACTAAGCATGCGTGCTTCCTTGAAATCTCCATAACATACTTCAGACAAGACCAAAAGGCTTATTAATACTTAATTAGAGAACAAATAATTTAACAAAATTTATAGAGCTACTCAAAGAAAACTAATTGTAAGTATAGTTGTTCTTGTTCTCATATGGCCACTTGAGGAGCTATTTCTTCTGGTCTCCTCGTCCACCTTCCCTTTATGGGACCTGATGGGGGAAAAAAACACTACTTTATAAAGATCAGATCTCTTTTCCCACTAACGTATCAACCCTTTTCTATGTTTACTGACACTGGAAATACAACCTAAACCTTTGCTGCCGTTGTTGTTAAGTGCCATTGAGTTGATTCATAGCAACTCTATGAACATCATTCTCATGATCCTCCCTCATGCTCATCTCCATTGTTACTGTCATTGTGTCAATCCATTCTGTCGAGTTTTTTTGTGTTTCTTTGACCCTCTATCTTTCCCGGCAGGGTGTCTTTTTCTAAGGCCTGGTCCCTCTTGACAACATGCTCAAAGTAAGTGAGATGAAGTTTCCTCATCCTTGTATTCAAGGAGCACCCTGACTGCACTTCCTCCAAGACCGACTTGTTTGTTCTTTGCACCATCATGGCATCTTCAGTTCTCTTCTCCAACACAAAAAATTCAAAGGTATCAATTCTTCCTCTAACAACCTTATTCATTGTACTTCTTTCCAAGGAATAGCTCTACTAGTAACATGCCCAAAGTATGTGAGATGAAACTTTATCATATTTGCCTCCAAGAAGCACTCTGGCTGTACCTTCTCCAAGACATATTTGTCTGTTCTTTTGACAGTCTATGAGATATTGAGAACTCTTCATCAACACCACAGCTCAAAGGCATCAATCAGTTCTTCTGTCATCCTTATTCATAGTCCAGCTCTCAGATACATAGCAAGTGATAGGAAAGATCATGGCCTGAATCAGACACCCATAGTACCAAATATCAGAGTACAAGTGGATCAAAAGTATAAAATTATTCTAAAAATGAATCAGTTTCTCTGGTGACATAATTTACAGGGAATTGTGCTCCTCACCAAAACACCGAGCCTCTTTTGCAGGTCACATCCCCCTGCAGTTCTGCTGGAGAAAGGTGGGTAATCTCCTCCCATGAGAATCACAGCTTTAGAAACCCAATGCAGGTCAGCTATGGGTTGGTTCTGACTCAAAGGCAATTATTAGAGTTTGAGTTTTTTGTGAGGGTAAAATCACAAAGAACTTAATAAGACTTTGTTTTGATTCATCCCAGGCACACTAGAAATGAAGATCTGAGTATGTAAGACTAAATTCAGAGTCCATATGCTGATAGAGCTGAAGTTCCATTCATTCAATAGTAGTAAAAGGTAACAGACTAAAATGGACCTGGGTGTTTGGAGCCAGCCAGAACTGAGTTCAAATCCCAGTTCTGTTGTAAGCTAGCCATATGGCATTAGGTATGGGCATGTGGAAAGAGTTGGGGAAAGGGGTTCATGTGCCAGTATATGTCTATGTTTGTTTTAAAATCACAGGCAAATTCTCACACAAGTTTAGTCTTTAATTTCTTATGGAATCTTGGATAACTCATTTTACCTTTTCGGTCTCAATTAACTTATCATTTGTCTCAGTTAATTTATCGTTTGAAGGACTGGGACTAAGTACTATAATATATAAGGACCCTCCTAAATTGAGAATGCTGGGATTTTTTTCACTCTAATTCTTTAACTCTCTTTAAAAACATAGTGTAAGGATAAACATGGGTTCTAATCCTGCTTACACAACATCAGCTGTTTAAATTTTATATAAAGCTTAAACTTCTATTTGCTCAAGTTCTCTTAAATAGCAATTGAAGAAAAGAAATGCCACATTTGCTAGGCTTTAATGGCAATGAAATAAAGCACTATATGTAAATATAACTAGGTTCTTCCTTGGCCCATGAAAGGTTCTGAATAGATTTTTTTTATGTTTTCTTTGCAAAATCTTCAAGTACTTTTATTACACATTGTAGTGAAATGAAACCTTCACAATCTACGTTAAAGTAAAAGACTCTTAGTACTAACTTTAAATGGTTCTTAAGTTTTGGGATTTTCAGTATTTTTAAACTGATTTTTATAGGTTCATTTGTTTCATGTAGTACATGCAGATATTAATTAATACTTTTTTGTTTTTCCTCATAGTAAGCTCTTTGTTTTTTCAATTGTTTGCATTTCTTCCACAATGGCTACCTAGACAATGATAGTGGAGTTTGTTTAGAGTTGTACATATACAATCAATATGTTCCATTTTCCTATGAATAAGGTGTTTCATTGTGTGTTGATTTTATTGAAAAATTATTGTCACTATCATCTGCCTAATAACTATGGAAATTCTGGCTTTAGGTAGTTCTGAAATCACCTTCATTCCTTCACTGCTCACTCTAATCAAGCCATTATATCCCTTCAGCTTTAACTCACTTTGTTGACTTTCCTTTTACTTAATCTGATCTTTTAGGGTCAAAGGACAATTCTATGACAAAACTCTTCAGGATCACTTGAAACTTTCCTCAGTTGGGTAAAATTACTAGACCAGCCAGACTGTAGTTTATTTATTTTGCAGTTTAACATAAGCAACTTTTTTGTGTTTTGTTTTCTTGTTATAGGCATATGTTGCTAGGAGATCTTTGGTTTGGTAAGACTCACTAATCTTTGCTATAAAATCCTGGCTTTCTCTCCCTGATTATTGTTATGGAAAGCTCCTGAATAACCCTCAGAGGCACTATCACCAACACCACAAAAGGAAACCACTCTACTTTTACATGTATTGTAAGCTCTATAGAGGCAAATAATTATTCTAGAAGAATAGTTGACTGATTGCCAAGTTTAGATTTCCGTTCTATACTCTTTATGCAAGGATTGTTTCTTTTCTAATCAGACTACAGTTTGGATGGTGGTAACATTTTTAAGAAGTCTATTAAGAGTATATTCAGGAAAAAATAAGTATGATAATATTATTAAACATATCACATAAACAAAACTTCAGTGAAAATCATTAGGCTTACAAAAGGCTCCACATGAGGTATATTTGGAGCATACTGAATGGAAGTTTAATTTTTAACCATGGGTTTTCCAAGGTAAGAATGCCTAAAATGAGTGAAGTTTATAGGACAAAGCTCAAAACACAATAAAGTGAAAAAGAATGTAATTACATAGAATAGACTGGACATACCTTAAAATGAAATGCCCAGTAAGGAAAAAGTGGAGATGCAAGTTAGATAAACCATAAATCAGCAATGTTCTTGCAAGAACTAATGAACTAAGATTTTAAGCATCTTTGTGAATTGCTACACACTCATGGTAGTTTCACATCTTTTGATAAGGGGTGTGTGCGATTACTGTCCTAGCTGGACAATACTGCTGTAATTTCCAAGTCTCTTTCAGCCCAGACTGTTTGGGTTATCATAGTTGAGCTTCCAACATGATGAAGGATGCAATATCAATTAAGAAGGCTATTTTAGTCATAATAAATAATGATAATGATGATGAATGGACATGTCACTTAGAAGAAGCTGGCTTGCCATTTGGGAGCTCAGAGCAACCAGCTGTGAGCTAGAAATAATGAGCGTCCAGCCAGGCTGAGCCTACATTAACATCTGAGCCAAGGTCCTGGACAAAAAGCCCCTGATTTTGAGGTATGATCGTTGGAAATGGTACCAACTAACAGTATTTATCCCCAAGCTAAAATATTATCTTGGATTTATGAGCAGTTAATGTCTGAAAGGGTTTGTTACTCCCCGTTACATGTAGAAAGGAAAACTCAACTGACAGGAAAGAGGCAGAATTCTAAATTAGAGCTAAGACTCCAAATCCATTGCTATTTCCATTATGACTCACACAGAAAATGTCCTACCAGGCTCTAGACAATTGAATGCAAGGGAAAGATTCAGATAAGAGCCAACTTAGGTTAGAAAAGGTTGAATAAAGTAATGTCTCTCAAAATGGTTTGCATACCTCATTTAGACTTAGAACACAGGCTAATACAACCTCTGGATTTCAAACAATGAGAAGTCATCCAAAGTCTTATACGACCGAGAACAAAGACTTCTCTACTGTAAGCACTATTATTTGAGTACCTAAGTGGAACAAATAGTTAAGCACTTGATTGCTAGCCATGCTAGTGTTTCAAACATACAAACAGATACTTCAAAATCAAACCTGGCTGTCTGCTATGAAAGGTCACACAGCCTTGAAAATTTTAAGAAGCAACTATACTCTGCACATATAGTACCACCACTAATTAGAACCAACTTGGTGGCAAGTAACAACAAAGCAGTAATAAGTAAGCACAAGTATTGATTTTATTGTGTGAGGAGATCCCAACTTGAGCTCTGAATCTATTACTAGCCCACCAAGAGTTATTTGAAAATGTGAGTATTAAACTAGATTATTGCTAAGGGTCCCAAGGATCTAGGAATCTGTAGATTTCAGAAAAGGTAAGATGTCATCAAAGTGGAAAAAAAAAACACCAAAAACAACCCCACACCAAATTGCTATTTATACCAGAGGGGGAAAAGCCCTGAAATAATGTATTCCTAACTAGGGTACTAAAGTGTCTCCAATCATATCTATTTGGTGAAATGACAACAGGTTACTACAGTAATATAAATGAATGGAGGTTGACCAGATGCCTGACATACTTGCCATTGATGACACCATCTGGATTGAGCATGGGAATAATCTTGAAAATGAAGTTTTCCCTCAGTAGTCGAGCCACAGGGTCACTGCTGATCAGGAACTCCAAGGTCCCCTTCATCACCCAACTGGCATTGCTCTCCCCTGGATGAACTCGGGCAGTCATCACTTGGTATGGGCGTTGCCCTGCATAAAAAAGTAGAAAAGAAAATTAAATCTAAGTATCTTTTCATTTCCATCAAGATAATATTCAGAAAGTAGATGTGCACCTGTCTGATATAATGTTCCAAATAGTTTGATTGTTTCTAACACACGTATTTTATATGAATGTATTTTCCATGTTCCTTCATCATTATAGACTGACTATAAAACTCAAAAGGGACTAATGCCTAAGGGCTGTCAACAAAAGTATAAGTTACTAATGATATTAAAAGTAGTCAAAAAGCAAACTTTATAAAAATCACCAGAGAAAACAACAAAATCTTAGGAGTGTTGTCCAATAACATGACTTTAGATGTCAACAATCTGAAATTAATTTTATCCCCCTACAGTCATGAGATTTCAACTTCTCTGAAGGTATTTCTCCTCTAGAAATGGAAACAACAATTGTGACCTCATCTGGAAAAGATATCAACTATATAATCTAAAACACTCAGCATATTGTCTGTCATTAAGTACACAAGTACACATAAGTTGCATCCCTTTTTATTATCAAGTTTGTGGATAAGATAGACCTCTCATTGTCAGAGTGCACTATTGCTACAGCCTGTTTGCCTGTATTTCCTGATAGAAAACATACGGAATGTGAAAGTGTTAAGTCATAGTCTGATGTCCTATCTATTCCCAGAAATGGAAATGCATTTTGATTGATGGGTGATATTGTTCCTTCGTATTCTTAGGGTGGTTTCGTTGATTCTACTAAAAATGTAACAAGAATACTCTAATCCATGGTCCTACTCTGTACTGTTGTGGTTTTTTGTGGGGTCCCCCCCCCGATTCTTTTGTTCCCATTGCTATCTTTAACCAATTCTTTAGTGATCCCTTAGCCAACTCTAACAATCAAGTGTTTTACAAATGTCTTAATTTGATGCTGTGGAATTATGATGTTGATAAGAAATATAGATTATAACATGGACTACAAAAAGAACAAAGACATCTGCACTAGATGTGTAGCTACTGTGCCTTAGAAGAAAGGGGAATAAGGAGGGGCTAGTCCTCAGAGAAGCACACCACATTTGGAAAAATAAATGGTCAGTGAATGAGAAGAAGATCATCAACAAGATGGATTGATCTCACAAAGCAACAATGGGTTTAAACACAGCAGAAATTGGGAGGGTGGTATAGGATCAAGAAAGGTTTCTTTCTTTTGTCCATATGGTCAATATGAGTCAGAGCTGACTCAATGGCAGGTAATAACAACAACTAACTTATTTTGTGTGCTATACTAGATATCCCACAAACAGATGACTGTAATAACCATAAATTTATTGTGTCTCTGTTGTTGTTGTTGCTCTTATGAGTAGTCAAGTCGCTTGAGACTCATAGTGATATTATGTACAACAGCTCTGAACCCTGTTCTATCCAGAGCCAGTGTCATTTTCTCTGACATGCCTACCCCATTACCTCAGTCAATGAATCAAGCAATCAGTCTCATCCAGAGTCATCTTCTCTTGTGCAGTCTCTCCACCTTTATAAGCATGATGTTTCTCTCCAAGAACTTATCCCTCCTGACAACATGCCCAAAATATGTGGGACAGAGTTTCAAAATCCTTATCTCCAAGGAGAAAACTGGTTTCACCCTCTTCAGGACAGACCTTTTTATTCTCTTAGCGGTCCATGGTATGTTCAATAATCTTCTCCAGCACCAAGAAACAAAGGCATCAATTCTTCTTCTATCATCCTTAGTCATTGTCCAGATCTCTGATGAATAGCCAATGATTATGAAGACCATAGCCTGGATCAGGTGCACCTTAGTCTCTAGACTGACATCGTTGTTCTTCAGGACTCCGGAAAAGTCCCTGACAGCAGACTTTCCCAATGCAATTCATCTTTTAATATCCTTGGTAACAAGAGTATTGACTGTAGAGCCAAGCAAACTAAAGCTGTTAACAATCTCCATCTCTTCATCATCTATCATGATACTGCCAGTTGACCCAGTGGAGAGAATCTTTGTCTTCTTGATGTTGAGCTTCAATCTATTTTGAAGAATGTGGTCCTTGGCTGTCTGTAGCAAATGCCTCAGGTGTTCCTCAGTTTTGGCTACCAAGGTTATTGTCATCTACATAATGCAGGTTGTTGATGAGTCTTCATCCAATCCTGATGCCACATTCCTCCTCATAAAGCCCAGCCTCTCAGATGATCTGTTCTGCATATAGATTGAAAAAGTATTGGAGGTAGGATGCATCCTTGGTGTACACCTTTCCTGATCTTCAATCATGCCATGTTTCTTTGCTCTGTTCTGATAACTGCTTCCTGGTATAAGTATAGGTTTTGTATGAGCACAATCAAGTATTCTGAAATTCCCATTGCTCTCAAGGTTAGCCATAATTTGTTATGATCTACATAGTCAAACTGTGGCTAATCACTTTTTGTTGTTGTTGATTGTTGTCAAGTTGATCATAATTCATAGCGACCCTATGAACAAAAGGCATGAGCCTTTCTATAACTATTGTCATGTTGTTTAGGAAGTGAAAAGTCTAAAATCATGGCACAAACTCTAGAAAACGGTTTTCTCTTTCTGACAGTTTTAGAAGAAATTTTTTGTACTTTTAAAAAAAAATCTCTAGGTCCAACATTCCTTGGATATCTTTGTGTGTTTGAATGTTATTCTTATCCTGAGTCTAGGAGACTAGCATCTCAGGGACTCTAAATTCAAAGGACATGCTTGCCTATTTCCTTTATCCTTTATATAATAAAGTATGGTGCATGTCGCTGTCTGTTTGCCGGCAACTTAACAGGGACGCCTAGATGGGGGTAAGCATGACACAGATACACCACTCCAGGAGAGTATAAAACAGTCAATCCAGCTCCATTTTATTGGGGACTTCAGCGCACTTATATACAACCAGGTAAACAGAAATACAGGATAGGGTGGGCTTACAGACGTGAGACATGCAGATTAGTTAGGAGAACCTCAGCCTCATGCAGACCACTCCCACCTCAACAGACACGGCAACCATCTTCCCAGCTGGCGAATTTTCTCAAGCCAGTACAGCCAAACACAGGGGAGCTTTCTCTACCCCGTGTTAAAGGCCACTGGGAGGCTTGTACTTATCTGGGGTTTAGGCGATCTGTCCTGGCCAGAGGTCCTTTCTTCCTCCCCAACGTTCTGCAACAGATGCAGGCCACTCTCCTAGGAAACTCCCCTTACTTGAAATCAGGACTGTGACCTGAAAAAGTTTGTTGTATCCCATTCTATTTCCCATACAAGTTAGTGACTGATCACATTAGATCACACTGTAAGGGAAGAAGACATCAGTGCCTAATTGCCAAATAATATTACATGGCTGACACATGAATGATAATCATTGCCTTGCCAAATTGACACATATTTAGGTGACCCATGTAACTAAAAAACCTAAAATTTAACAAGGTAGGAATTTTTTGCTGTAGCATTCAAATTCTCAGTTAAAGTTTGCTATCTTTTTGCTTTTTTAATTCCAGAAGCAGTAGCATATTTGAGGGCATAAACTGTGTCTAATTCTGTGAAAGGACAAAACTAAGTTACAGATTATAGAGGGTGGGGATTAAGAATATCTTAAAATTATGTTATTATAAAGAATACTGGAAGGTCAATCTCAATGCTCAAACTCAATGAAAATTCAGAACCAATTCTTAGCTGAACTTTCACTGTCTTTTAGAAGGTGTAATTCACTCATTAAGTGAGACTATCTCTTGGAGAATTGTTACTGGATGCAGCTTTTGGGTTAGAAGTGCAACTCTTTTCAGTCTATACCACCAGAGCTGCCTTATTCTCATTAATTAATAAAAACACATATAAAAAAAAGCTACTCTGTTCCTTCCATGTTTTTTCTGACATCCAATGAGATATGGATTTAAGAGGAGGGTTGTTAGCTCTTGTTGGGAACTTCCTGATTCTTAGCATGTCATGCACAACAGAATGAAACACTGCCTACTCCTTTGCCATTTTCATGATCATTTATTTTCTTAAATTCATTTTTAATGCCTGTATGTACTTTCATTGATTTCCAGATTAGGAGATTAATCTTGTAGCAATATTCTGTTGTAATCCATGAGATTTTTATAGGTTAATGAGTTAAATGTGATAATGGTTACCCAAGGTAGACAGTGTTTGATGGAGCTCCCAGATTAAAAAAAGATTGGAATCAGGAGTGGCATTACTTCTGAAATAGCTTCCCTCTGGAAACCCAGTGAACTTGGAGAAACAATGAATTTTATACAAGTGTTCAGGTCTTTCGTTCATAGAGTTGCTATGAGTCTATGACTCGACAGCACATAACAAAAACAAGAGAGCTCACTTGGCCTAGGGTCACTATGAGTTGTCTATGACTTGACAGTACTTAACAACAACAACAACATATCCAGAATGTTCCACTGTTGTTCATAAGGTCCACAGTATTCATAGGCTAACTGACATCAATAAATCACTAGTTATTCCCATTAAAAAGAAATGATCCAAAAGAATGTGTAAATTATCAAATAGTATCATTGTGTCACATACAGACAAAATATTGCTGAAGATTATTTTTAAATGGTTAGGACACTACATCAACATAGAAGTGTCAGAAATTCAAGTTGAATTTAAAAGATGACATGTCACAAGTGATACCATTACCCATGGCAGAGAATTTTGCCTGAAAGCAGAGAAATAACAGAAGGATCTCTCTCTGTGTTTTATTGTGACTACACAAAGGCATTTGACTATGTGTATTATAACAAATTATGGTTAACATTGAGAAGAGTGGGCATCCCATAATACCTAATTGTGTTTCAGTGAGTGAAACCTGCACATAGACTAAGAGGTTATTGTTCTAACAGAGCAAAAGAACATTGCATGGTTCAAAATCAAGAGTGGTGCACATCAGGCTGATGCCATCCAGACTAGAGGCAGACTCATCAACAACCTGTGTTATGCAGATGACAAAGCCCTGCTTGCTGAAAGTAAGGAAGACATGCTGTATAAAACCAAAGGCTACAGCCTCCAA